ATATCTGTTATATCGAGAACCACTGATGTAATTTAATATTTTTTAATGAACTTAATATTAGGATTAAGTATGAGTTAGTCTATCAGTTATAGGTAAAATTTTCTCTCTGAAATTTTTTACTAATGCTCTAAGGTTGATTTACAGCTGTTTTCATAAATTCTGGGCCACTTAAAAATTTATTCATTTCCTGAAATTTCTTCAGTTTCGTTCTGTGAATTATCTAACTCTTCGGAAACTACATCACTATCTCCGAACTGATATTCCGGAGACAGTGATGTAGTTTTCGAAGAGTTAGATAATTCACAGAATGAAACTGAAGAGATTTCGGGAAACGAATAAATTTTTAAGTAGCTCAGAATTTATGAAAACAGCTATAAACTACTGTTTCTTGCAATTTGTTATCCTCACTGATTAAATTGCTTCATATCTATATTTCGGTTCCTGGTTTTAGCATGACTATATTATGCAATTACTAATGATCGTAAAAGTCAATTAATAATAACCTAATTATGCATTACGGATCTCATAAATTCTGAGACACCTGAAAAAATTTATCTTTCCCGAAATATTCTCGATCTTTGTTTAACTTTTCAGGAACTACGTCACTGTCTCTGAATTGAAGTTCTGAGAACAGCGACATAGTTTCCGAAAAGTTAGATGATTCTTAGGATAGGATCGAGAAGATTTTGGGAAATGGAAATTTTTTTAGATGTTCCAAAATTTATGTAAAATTAAAGGATAAGAATATCTGCTCTAATCCGAATTGTCAAATCTCAGAATTTGTCGGATTATGGATCGAAACACTATTTTTTATTATAAAATTAAACATCACAAGTAAAGTGTCACAGGATTACATAAATAGTATTTTAAAAATTGATCTGCATTATTTGTCGCATGAGTTACATCACATGTGACAACAAAATTTGATCAACCAATCATAAGATTTTTAAGCATGCTTCTCCATATCAACAATTGAATTATGGTAGCAATACTTTGAAATAAGTTCAAATTCATATCTAATTATTATTATTACTGCATTATTAACTTATACTTCTAGATAAATGCTTGAGACCTTGCGTGCAAATAAATGACAGTGATAGTAGTATTTTAGTTTTTTTTTTTTTTTTTTTTTTTTTTTTTATAATACGTATTAAGCTGCTATTTCAGATGAAAGTTCGGATTCGGAACCTTCATATATTCAGTTAGATAATGACACTATGAGTAGGTTCATATTTGTTTAAGATTTTTTTTTATTATTATTAATTTTTCTATTCTTAGACAACGACTTAGGATTTTTACAACGGCAACCAGATATCAGTAGTAGTACTACAAGTAAGTTCCTTATATCAATATATTTACTGTTTTATCTTATTTTTATATATTGTTTATATTTCTATTCTTAGTTATGGGTTCAAGTCAACAGCAACTGAATAATGGTAGCAGTTTTATAAGTAAATTCATAATACAATTAGATTATTTTTTTTCCTGTATTAATTCACATTTATATTTAAGATGAAAGTTTGAAACCTTTGAACTGGAGACTGAATAACAGTAATGATACCTTAAGTAAATTTATATTTTATATATATATATATATATTTTTTTTTTTTTTTACTAATTTTTACTATTGTAGATAAAAGCCCGGAACTTTCACACTAGAAACTAGATGACGAAGGTACTTTAGGTAAGCTTATACTTATGCTAATTTTTTTTTTTTTTGCAATTATATTTTGATATTTCTATTTTTTGTTAAGGCTTGGAACCTTCACACTGGAATCTAAATTATGATATCTCTACTTTAGGCAAGATTTACCTGTTTATACTTACTACGTATGTACTTTTTTTTTATATACATACTAATTTAAATTACTATTTTTAGATAAAAACATGAATTCTTCATACCGGCAACTGGTTAACATTAATAGTAACAACACTTTAGGCAAGTCATATTTATTATTGCCATTTTACTTTTTACTTTAAACAATTCAAATTAATATATATTATTCTAAAGCAAGAAATAAAGATAATTCTGCCCTTGCAGATATTACAAATATAGCACCTCATGAATACTTACGAAATGCAGCACGACGGGATCTTCAGCTTTATACTGAAGCAATGATGAATCAGATGCTAAAAAAAAGAAAAATGGTTGATTATCATATTGGTGATCTCATGCATATAAATGTTCCCAAAATTGATCGGTATAGTACTGATCGCCCTACACTCCCTTGCAAGATTATAAATATAGTTGATAACAAATATCAAGTAGCATGTAAATTCGGTATTATTAATGTTTGTTATACATCTGGTAAGCTTGAGCCTCTTGGAACTATTGCTTACCTTGATCTTGATGAGATTCCTTCGAATAAGTTGTCTGTTCGAGAGGCTTCAAGGCTTCAAAATGCAGGATTGTTATCAAATAGTATTTGTAATTGCAAAGGATCATGTAATAGCAATAGGTGTAAATGCAAGCGAACAGGAGGAAGTTGTTCAAGCAAATGTCATAGTGGAAAATCATGTTCAAATAAGAACTAGTTTAGCAAATGAATTATTTTATAAATATAGAAATAGTTTTATTCATATATAGTAAATAAAACTACATTGATTTTTTTTGCTCATATATTAATTATATAAATAGAGTCTTATTTTTTAGTTATTTATTAAACAATATTGAAAAAAAAATTCTATAATAAGCTATATATTCTTTTAGTTATTAAACTTCGATTTACTAATATTTTTTTATTCCTGCAACTCACTCAGCATTACTACTAAAATCAGTTATAGATAGTAATTTGAAAATTTTATTTTATTTTATTTAAGAACTATTTGAATTAAAGATCGAAATTTAAAAGACAAGATTTTATAAATAAAGGTTTGAAATTAAATTTTATATACTTTAATTTAAAATTCGATATTAAAAAAAAATAATAAAATTATAAATTCACTGTTCGAATTATTATAAT